GTCCGGGTGAAGAGCTTAGAGTTGTTTTCCCCTTGGTTCTCCTCTATTTCGCAAGTAATGTGTTATTCTTCATACCCCAGAATGATCCTTGTGATCCAAGGGTTACAGCTGATCCTTGTTGGCATGTTTAAAAAAGAGCTGTGGCGCTGAGTTTGCATGACAAACCCCTTACTGTTCAAAGCACTCATTTTTCAATTAAGAACGCAGCCTTTGACCTGTGAGCAGACTCATACCCACTTACTTCTCCGACTCCGGGTTTCTCAAAAGCAGCATTGTTGACTTGGGCTGGATAATTCTTTGTTCTGGGGGCTGTCTGTGCCTTGTAGATGTTCAGCAGCATCCCTGGCCTCCACCCACCGGATGTCAGTAGCACCGTCACCCCCCGCCATGGCGACAGCCAAACATAGCTCCCTCCAGACATTGCCAAATGCCCCTGGTTTGGAAAAACTGCCCGTGGTTGAGAACCACTGCCTCAGAGGGATCACCCTGTTGTCATAAGCTCTTGTCCTGAATTATCAGACTTGCGAGTAGAAGGCCAGGGAGTTAGCCCTGTCTTCCCAGTTGAATGGACCACCACAGGCCCGTGCTCAGAAGGGTACCAGTGGTGTCCACATCCCCTCCCTTCTTTGCATTGTGACTCGGGGTCAGAGAAACTCGTAGCACTATGGGATTCTCTTTTGACCCTGATTCAAAGAGCGAGGGGATCAACTCCACTTAATTCAAATATTCCTTAGATATCTTCTTGACGGACTTGATGGTGTGAGGGTCTACAAGAATGAATACGGTGATGTCTCTTTCTCTCTGCCCCGCCCCCCAAATTTAGAGGGGGCACATTCAAAGGCAAGAGGCACCTGGGAGATCAGTGTTCCTGTGCTGCTGGCTTCTGGCACAACCTCTTGGGATTTTACAGAGTCACCGATGAGAGGACCGTGTCTCTGATATAGGGGCCACAGGCCAATCGAGTGGCAGAGTTCATTCCGTTTCATTCCATGGCCACAGTCTGCACCCCTGACCCCAAGAGGTGACTTTGCACAGGTAGCCAAATGAATAGATCGGGACAGATCCTGATTCTTACGGTGTTCTGTGCCTTTCGCCTTCATAATTGGCTGGTAGTATGGTTAACCTCTTTGGGTGTTGAATCTCACCAGTGAGTGCGAAAGCTCCATAGGATCGGTGTTCTGTCATTTCTCTATCTTTCTGCGCTACCTTGCCCAGGCAACGTGTGTTTCATAAACGAACGAATTCGTCATCACCCCTGGGAGTGGCAATGCACAGCCCGGGCCAGAACAGTCAATGGCCTCCTCTGTGCCCTGCAAGCACCACACCCACGGCACTCCCCACAACACCCACCACTCAGTGTTTATCTTATTCCAAAAGTTCTTGAAGAGCTACAGCGTTTGCTGGTGATAAGGACGCGCCTGATATCACGCCTCACCACGTGCGTCACTTAACACACGGCACAAAGGGAAAATGGAGCCTCCTCCCTCCTGAAAAAGATGCTCAACGTATTGAGCGGCACCAACAACAACTGAAAAATCTGAACACAGCTTCAAGTGCTCTTGAAGTGTCTTTTGCTCGCCCCACGAGGCCCTGGGTTCAGATAGCAGGTGGCAGACTCCATGATGATCCGAGTCCTTTCCAACTTTTTATTATAAAACGTTCCGAGTTTACTAAGAAGCCGAGCGACTAGTGCAGTGAAGCATCCTTTCCCTTAACAGTTTACCCAGACTGCAATCCGTTTGTGAGGCATAGCACTGTAATCATATTGCAACCGATGACTTTATGAACAGAGCGACACGAGGTTTTTTTTTTTTTTTTTTTTTTTTCAGACGTAACCGAAAGGCCCGTGTAATAACCCTCCTCGCGGGAGGGCTTTGGTGTGGTCAAAGTGTGCATGCCAAAAGTCTGTCAGCTTCCCTACCTTCACGGCTTCGTTTCTCCTATTTACTTCCTCAAATATCACACCCAAAGTGTGAGGGTGCACATAATAAAATGTGTTTACGTCTTATTAACATCATTTTCTAACAGCCCTGGTATCTTGATCTTGAGAAGAGGTCCTAGGATAGTCCATCTCTTGGCTTGCATAATTTCCTCTCTATCAACTTCCTTAATAAACACCGAATCTACCTTAGCTTTTTCCCAGTTTCATGGTTAAAAAAAAAAAAACACACACACAGAACTTAAGATGTTATAATTATTGAGTGGTGCCTTCTGGAAGACTCTCCTTGGCTTGCCCAAACCCCCAGTCTTGCTTTGTCCTGGAGCATTTAATCTTCCAGTTCCAGGAGCCTTGAGTTCTGCACGCACCAGGCATTCACTGAGCACTTACGGAAAACAGCAGTGTGGTAGTCGTATGGGTTCTGGGTGGTGAGTTGCCCTCCCCCTCAAGAACAGACTAACAGTGGGGCGCCTGGGTGGCTCAGTCGGTTAAGCGTCCGACTTCAGCTCAGGTCACAATCTCGCGGTCCGTGAGTTCGAGCCCCGCGTCGGGCTCTGGGCTGATGGCTCAGAGCCTGGAGCCTGCTTCCGATTCTGTGTCTCCCTCTCTCTCTGCCCCTCCCCCGTTCATGCTCTGTCTCTCTCTGTCTCAAAAATAAAAATAAAACATTAAAAAAGTTAAAAAAAAAAAAAGAACAGACTAACAGAAAAGCGGGCTCTCAAATCAATAAATGATATATAATTGCAGAAGTATATTGAGCCTCTTGGGGAGGATTTTTTTCCCCCGGAAAGAAATGAGCCTTGAGCGTCCACAGAAAGGAGGGAAAAGACGTGTGGGTTCAGTGAACTACCGAGAGCCTCAGCAAACCCTGCCCCCTTTCATGCTGCTGAGTGTGAAAGAAACTTCTTTAAGCTCCTACCACATGCCAGGCGGTGTGCACATCCTTTATGTGGATTGTCTCGTTTAATTCCCATAATCCCATTGTATGAAAGACAGACTAGGTGGTTACTTGTTCACAGAGGGCAAACTCAATACCCTTCCTTTACTCCTGTTTTCTGAAATTGCCTGAAAATTAAATTGGGGCGCCTGGGTGGCTCAGTCGGTTAAGCGTCCGACTTCGGCTCAAGTCATGAGCTCACAGTTCCATGAGTTCGAGCCCCGCGTCAGGCTCTGTGCTGACAGCTTGGAGCCTGGAGCCTGCTTCGGATTCTGTGTCTCCTTCTCTCTCTGCCCCTCCCCCACTTGTGCTCTGTCTCTCTCTCTCTCTCTCTCTCTCTCTCTCTCTCAAAAAATTAATAAATAAATGTAAAAAAATTTTTTTAAATAGAAATAACACCAATAGTTCTACCTCCAGAGATTACATTTCAGACTCTTTCTAATTGACCTCTTCTCAAGATCAAGATAGCAGGACTGCTAGAAACAGGTTTTTGTATACATATGGCATTAACTGTGCCGTTTGTAACCTGATTTTTTATTTAAAATATATCATGGGCATCTTTCTATGGTCCTAAGTATGTCTTCCATTATTTATATTATTTCAATGGCCGCATAGGATTCCACTTTTTAGGCAATTTTATTTTAACTGACTCCTGTTGATGGGCATAACTTCAGTGGGTTTTTTTTGTTGTTGTTGTTCTTTCCATAGTTTTAAATTTGTTTTAATGTGATTTTTCTCACAGTATATGCCACAATAAAGTTTCTAAATTTCTTTTTTATTCAAAATGATTACTGGACTTCATGAGCCTCATAGTAATGAAAATCTAACGCATATATTGTGTTCACTATGGGCTAGGCACTATTACAGATGCTTTATACAAAACTACTTAAAAATTTAATAGAGCATTCTCCTCCCACAACCCTATGAGGTAGATACTGGTACTGTCCTTTTTTTTTTTTTTAATGTTTATTTATTTTTGAGAGAGAGAGAGACAGAGCGCGAGGGGGGGGAAGGCAGAGTGAGAGAGGGAGACACAGAATCCAAAGCAGACTCCAGGCTCTGAGCCATCAGCACAGAGCCCGATGCGGGACTCGAATCCCTGAACCGAGAGATCGTAACCTGAGCTGAAGTCGGACGCTTAACCGACTGAGCCACGCAGGCGCCCCAGATACTACTACTGTCTTCATTTTACCGATGAGGAAACTGAGGTACAGAGAGGTTAAGTGACTTGCCCAATGACACACCACGGGGCCATGGCAGAGTTGGGGTTCCAGCAAAAACAGTTGGCCTCAAAGCCTTTGTTTTTAACCGTATCACTAGTTATGATGAGGACACCAACTCATTTCCAAAGCGTAAGATTCTCAAACCCAATCAATGTGTAAGAAAACAAAAATACAAGCATTCTCTTTGGTTACTTAGAAATAAATGTATCCCTCCTTATGAGATGTGCCATACTTTGCTATTTAGTTTTTAATGGTGATATTCCCCCAGGCCTTGCCGACTCCCTTGAAATAAAATAAAAGCAAGCATGATATTATGTAGAGAGTAGTATAAAATCATCAGCACCTTTCTCCCACCTCCTGACTGTCTTTGACATGGAACGAAAGTTTGAACAGATCAGATTTCAACACCAGCCTGGCCGAGTTCCCCCAGCCCCGCTTTCAGAAGCTCTCAGGTTCCCCAACACATGCTTTATTATTCTCTGCATGCTGATTTGACTCTGGTAATCCTTTGCCCTTTAATAAAGCATTCTTTATAGCAAATCACTCCCTGAGCCACTAGAAAGAAACTGCCCTTCCTCATCCCCGCCCCTCTAGGCACTGAACGAAAAATAAAAATGACCTGCATTTTGATTGTAGAGAGGAGAAAACCATTTTCGTGGTTGTAGTGAGAAAACCTCTTCGTCACCAAGATATTATCTCACCGTAAACTCCAGTTTCCAGGTCTGCGATCACATGCCAGCTGGCCATCTTTAGAAAAACCCTAGGGAAAGAGGATGCTCTGAGTGTCCAGGTTACCTCGTTGGTTAGTCCCCTTGGAATTCCCAGAGGAGTTCAGTGACACGGTTGTTGCTATTGCTAGGGTTTAACTGTCATAGCAGGAGGACAAGCTGTTTCAAACAACCTGGCTATTTGCTTTTGTGTTCAGGCTACTTATGTGACCGCTTTCCTACCTGGAAGAGGACATTTCAGATGCTCTCATCTATCCTATGGCAAGTCGTAGTCTATGAAGATAGCACAAAAGACTTAGGAAGGGAAAAGTTTACAAAGCATTTTGCTTTGGTCTGCATGATAATCACTAACTGTATCAGTAACTTCTTGTACCAAATTGATTGGTGCTTTTGGCATGGCGCCTGGCTAGCCACACCGTCTTCTTTTTTATCTCCTTTCTTCTTCCTTTTCAGGGTCTTTGGCTATTGTCCAGTGGGAATTATGTGTTCTCTCTCTCTCTCTCTCTCTCTCTATATATATATATATAATGAAAATTTTAAAAATCTTTATTTTTGAGAGAGAGAGTGAGAGAGCAAACTAGGGGCTGAGAGAGAGAGGGAGGGAGAGGATCCCAAGCATGCTCTGCCATCAACATAACGCCTAAGGCAGGGTTTGAACTCACAAACCATGAGATCGCGGCCTGAGCCAAAGTCAGACACTCAACCGAGAGCCACCCAGGCGCCCCCCACGTGCTCCCTTTAAGAAGCACACATCTTTGCCTTCTTGGACCACTTAAACTCTGCCTTCCTAAAAGTCTAGAAATCACAGGTAGCTCTATTTACTTTCCTCCCTAGTGTTACAATTTGGCATTCCCCGATCCTTCCGTCACTTCTGTCTCACCAGCCATGTCCTCCTTGTTGCCCAGAAGTAGGTCAGGATACGAAATTCCCCCTTTCTAGTTCAGCCTTCTTGTTAGCAAGGCAAATAAACAGCTTGCCAAATGCTCACTTTGATGGGTCAGAGCAATAAATTCCCTCATCGCTACACAAGGTCAGAATGACCCTCTAGCTTTGGAGATCAAGGCACAGAACACTGGCGTCAGATAAACATGGGCTCAGGAGCTGCTTTACCAGTTAGTGTGTGTTGAATGTTGGGGGTCAACAGGGATTCTGATCTCTCCTTCATCTTCCATATCCAGCACAGACAGCACCTGCTCGTTCTTTTTTCCTGGTGCCTCTCGGGTTTCCTTTTCCCTCTCCTGTCCCATTTTCCCTACCTCAGACAGCCCTTGCTTTTTCGTGCTCTGAATTCTCAAATCTGAACTTTTACTTCTGCTCTCACAGGACTTCCCACACCATACTGGAACCACTCATCACCGTCACCAGCAACGTGAAAGTTCTGTGAGGACAGAAACTTACCTTTTCTACCTCACTGGTGTGCCCCTGATTCCTCCAATAAGTGGACTCTACCACTGATAGTAGAACAAGTGAATGAATGACATGTGTGAATGAGTTGCTACAGCTGCCTCCGGACTTCTTTCCAGTAAACTTTTCCTACCACCTAAACTGCGATCCCGTTCATCACGTTCCATTCCTGCTCAGGAATCTACAGCATCTTCCCGATTTCCCCGTGAATCTAGATAATGAGGCTTGGGGTGCCTGGGTGGCTCAGTTGGTTAAATGCCCAACTCTTGATTTGAGCTCAGGTCGTGATCTCATGGTCTGTGAGTTTGAGCCCCGCATCGGGCTCTGCGCTGACAGCATGGAGCCTGCTTGGGATTCTCTGTCTCCCTCCCTTTCTCTCTCTCTCTCTCTCTCTCTCTCTCTCTCTCTCTGCCCTTCCCCTGCTTGCAAGCACATGTACTCTCTCAAATAAATAAATAGTCCCACCCCTTACCCATTCAGCCTTTTCTACTACATCTCCCCATGTGCTCCTGCTCCAGTCAAGAGGCTTTGCCCATTCCTCTCCGTTGTGGCCATACGCAATGAGTTCCCATCTCATGTCTTAAGGAAAGCTGTTGCCTCCACCTTGGATGCTTTTCTTCTGCCTTCTCATTAAAACAAACTCATCCACAAAGATCTAGCTCAAGTCCTGCCTGCTTCTATGCAGACCTCTGAACTTTTCTCATCTGTACTGGCCTCTGCCTTCTCTAATCTTCTGTTGGCCTTTAGTTTAATGATTTAGCTATTCTACCTATGGAAGTGTTGTCCACCCACCTGGATGATGATGTCTTTGGGAACAGGAACCATATTTTATAGGCCTTTGCATCCTACATAGCTGCTAGTTTAAGTCTGATTTCCACACCCTGTGTTCTCCTGTTAACACTTCTATCCTGTCAGTATGTGGACTTTTACCCCTTTTTTTCTTTAAGTTGGCTATATATAGAGAGAGGTAACCTAATTAAATAGCTTCTGAACAATCCTCAGATTATCTTATTCTGTTTTAAGGGATTTGTTTTCTATCTCTACAATGCACGAAGGCGTTTTCAACAGCTCCTTGATCCCCTATCTCGCCTACCCTGTCCACCATTGAGCACCCCATGTACCTGGTAGGCATGTTGGATAATCTCCAAAATCAAGTTTTCCATGTCTAAGTGTATTGAGTGGCTGATGAGCAATCCGCAGAGATGCTTGAGCCACCAAAAGATTTTTGTACAAACTCAGTGGATTTGAGCCTATATCACTGTTCATCGCTATGTGAGTCAAGGGTTGGTTATAGGTCCTGCCTTGGGCCAATGTCAGAGAGCCGTCCTTTCAGGAAGCAGGGGGATTATGGTCTCCTCTGCCTATAGAGGTTCTTCCATATTTCTGGGAAGTCAGACTAGTCCAGAATGTATAGAAGAGTGGGGGCAGGAACCTTCTTGTCTCTCTTAGGAACCCCAGCCTAGACGAGGGCTTCTCAGCCCTTAACGTGCATATGAATCACATGGAGATCATCTTAAAATGCAGACTCTCAGTAGGTTTGGGGTGGGACTTAAAATTTTGTATTTCAGACAAGCTCCTAGATAATACCAATGCTGATGTTGCTTGGCTGTGGGCCACACCACACTTAGATTAACAAGGGCCTGGCATACAGACACCTGTCCACGGGACTTCAGGGAGTGAGAGTCTCGAGAAAGACTTCCATGCACGCCAACATTCATTTCAGCATCTCCTGTAAGAATCTGGCTAAGTGTATCTTTAATTCTTTTTCAAACAGCATATCTAAGTTTTGCAACCATAAACACCAGCCAGGAGAATACATATTTCATGCAGAAAACGATGATGCCGAATTCACAAAAATGTTCACGCTGAACATAAGAAGTAAGTTAAATTGTCAAGAAATTTCACGTTAATCTTATCACTGCTTACTTGTGTATTAACTATGACCAGAAAGAGCTAAGTAAAGGCTTAGAAGGGATGCCATAAGCTATTTTTATATACTGAAGTATGGTGAAATTTTATTTCAAATCTACTGACTTTGTTGATAGATAGATAGATAGATAGATAGATAATTGTTCTGTGTTCATCTTTGAGGCTAAGATAACTTCTCCCATGTCCTCTCTGAATGTACTTTCTTGTGGTCTCTTATTGACTTTGGTACTTTGAAAGGCCATGTGAAGGAACAGCTAGAAGTCCTATTACCTGATATTTATTTATTTTAGTAATATTTGTTCCTTTGGCCTATAAAAAGATGCGAGTACATTTCACTGGACTTTTTATAGATGTTTCTCTCCTGAAGCTAAGAATCGTTTTGATTCTTGGAGGTAGAGAGATGAGCACATCTCAGCCGTCTACAGGAGGGGCCTGGCAGTGGAAAAGTAGTGTTTTGCACATGGGTGGTAGGGCTGTCTGTACAGAAAGTTCCACACAAGGGGCAAAAAAGGGAATAACCAGAGGTCTTGAGTCATCCTGCGTATGAGACACCTTCCCAGAAGCACAAACTGCTTGGAGTAGATGGGCAACCTAGATGAAGCGAACGCTGAGGCCATTTCTGGAAAGTACCATACCACGTGAGCTGATTTTACATGTTCTTCTCTACAGGGAAACCTCAGGTGGTAGTCGAGGGATCATCAGCAAGTCAGGCTTCTTGCTCCTCTGATGGGTACCCATTACCATCTTGGATCTGGAAGAAGTGTTCCGACAAGTCTCCCAAGTAATGAGGACATTGGTATCTCTTATGTTGGAAGAACATAAAACTCATACTCTCTCTGGCATATTGACTCTTGCTCATGAATACGATTTAAGAAGAAGTGATGCAGTATTTAAAATGCTTACCTTCTGAGTCAACTATAATTCTAAATGGTCACAGATTGTCTCTGATAACTTATAACCAAGAAATCTCTTTTAAAGCTCACTAGACAAACCCTAACTTCCAATCTGATGCTAGGCCCCGCCTGTCTAACTTCCCTGCCATTTCTTTTCAGCTGCACAGAGGAAATCACAGAAGGAACTTGGAATAAAACGGCTAACAGAAAAGTGTTTGGACAATGGATATCAAGCAGTACTCTTAACATGAGTGAGGCCGTAAAAGGATTCCTGGTGAAGTGCTGTGCATACAATTCCCTTGGCACCTCTTGTGAAACAATCCTTTTAAACTCATCAGGTACACAGCAGGTGCTCTTGTAAGGAACCACCTTCAGGAATTCCCCACTAGAAGTTAGTCCCTGTTGTTGGCTTTTATTTGGGGAATTTTACAAAAGCGTACAGGTTCAGGTGTGACACAAGCCTTTTTTGAGTCAGGCAAGAATCCCCCACTGAACATAAGCTGTTTTGTAATTTAGGGGCAGAGGGACTTCTCCTTACGTTATTATGACTCATGAGTTATAGTGGTGCAGGTGGAACCGTAAACCCCCAGGATAGGAAGTATCTACCAAAAGATCCAACTCTAGAGAAACCAATTTAGTGATTTGGGGTCTCTCCCATTTTCTCTCTCTCTTTTTTTTTTTTCAATGTTTATTTATTTTGGGGACAGAGAGAGACGGAGCATGAACGGGGGGAGGGCCAGAGAGAGAGGGAGACACAGAATCGGAAACAGGCTCCAGGCTCCGAGCCGTCAGCCCAGAGCCCGACGCGGGGCTCGAACTCCCGGACCGCGAGATCGTGACCTGGCTGAAGTCGGACGCTTAACCGACTGCGCCACCCAGGCGCCCCTCTCCCATTTTCTCTTTTGATGAATCTCTTTATGTTCCTTTAGCCTGCTGTTTTATAATTTCTAGTTTGTTTTTTACAACCCTTCTAACCTAAGCAAGTCTGAAACCTGCCTGCCTACACATAGTTTAAAATCACCAGCATCCCCAAACTAACTTCCCATGCATACGATACCTTCGTACAGAAAACACAAACTTCTTTTTTATTTTATTTTATTTTATTTTATTTTATTTTATTTTATTTTATTTTATTTT